GGGGGGGGGGGGGGGGGTAGAAAACACCAAGAAATGTTGATCATGCAAATTATATACAACTAATACTGTAATTTGCCTGCAATTAATGCATTTCAGAACATACCAGACAATGTTTGCAAGCATCAAGTTTACATTACTTTATACTAGATATCAATAATTATTAATTTACAATTTACTCCAATACAATTCAAGAATTTCTTAAATTGTTAAAGGTATATCAATTTATAAAGCTCAATGCCTGTATTTTAAAAAGTCCTCAATCATAATAAACCTTCAAGAATTTATCAAAAGTTCGAAAATTTACTTTGCTAAGAATATAGAGAGAGATACTTTGATGACAAAGAATACATTATTATTTTGTTCAGGTTTTAGTCATGAACTAATTTCAAACAAGTGCTTTTACCATATTATTAACAATAAGAATGGATGAAAACCAGAATGGTAAAGTGACATTTTATAAATTCTAAGAAAAACTATTTCAGGCTATATTTCAGAGGCAATGTTTTTTCGTGGTTTTAATGAACAATTTAAATGCCATGGTTTTAATGATTAAACAAAGCACCGTAATTTTACAGTGATTAACTTAAGAAATCCTAACAAATGTTTATTTAAATGTCACATTCTGATCTGGTTTTCACCCTTCCATATATAAAAATTCCATAAAACCTTGCAAATTTATGAAATATACCAATAATAAAACATATTCACCTTAAGGATCTGGAACGAACACATCAAGGTTTCATCCACAGACATCATGGCGCCAGCATTATCAAACTCTCCACAATAGTTGGGAGCAGAAAAAAGGGTTACCAATTGCCGTTTGGCAAAGAATTCATAACCATCCTCCACAACCTGAAAAAAAATTTTCTACATGGTTTCATTCTGAATAAACTGTAAAACAACATTAACATTTTTCAAATTATCAGCTTTGGTGACTTCTGAATTGGATTATCACAAGAAATCAGGTAAAGTTTTTCATCATAACGAGGAACTTTAGATTCTCAATAACCTCATCTTACTATTTAGATACATTATTTCCATACCTGATGTGCTCGACATATAAGATCAAAATCGTGTTTATGTAAGAATTTGGCTACCACTTCAGCACCAAATGTGAAGGAGACACCTCTGTCATTCTCTCCCCAACCCATCGTGTCCTGCACAAAATATCAATTTGAAGACAAAAGTAACAATAAATGTAAAGACAAAATGAGCATGCCAGAGAGGATTTTTTTTAAAAAATCCCACCTTATCAGGATCAGACCATAAAAGATCACACAGAAGACCCTGGTCAGGTACATCTGTAGGCCGCATGATGCGGCGAATCTGCTCCATACTCTGCAAATCTGGGCTAAGACCACCATGACAACAAAATATCTTTTCATCAACTATTGCTGCTACAGGCAGACAGTTGAAACAATCTGTGAATGTCTTCCAAAGTTTGATATTGTATCGTCTTTTACCTGCATTAAATTATTCACAAATATACAAACAAAACTTGAACAAAGTATTATTACATTGAAAATGAAACAATAAAAAATTATACAATTTTTTTAATCGACTCACATTCATCATAAAACCCATATATCCTGTTGATACTGGCACATTCATGATTTCCTCGCAGCAAGAAGAAATTTTCAGGGTATTTGATCTTATATGCTAGCAGAAGACAAATTGTTTCCAGAGACTGCTTCCCTCGATCTACATAATCGCCAAGAAAGAGGTAATTTGACTCTGGAGGGAAACCTCCATACTCAAAGAGTCGAAGTAAGTCATAATACTGGCCGTGAATGTCTCCTGTAATTCACATAAAGGAAAAAAAAATGTTCCATCCCCGCACACGCATTTATTCCATACAAACTGCACATCAATAGAAATTAATCTTACCGCATATTTTAAGGGGAGCTTCCAGCTCCAACAATATAGGTTGCGAGAGAAAAATTTCACGAGACTTCAAACACAAGCCTCTGATTTCGCTCTCAGTCAACTGAACATTCTTACCCGGCCTGGCTCCTCGAACTGTAAAATAAATGTTTTACACCTTATACCAAAATAATAGCAACAAGAAACATTTGTTGCCTTAACATTTAAATACAAACTGGAACTTCACATACTTTGCTAAAATCTACATTCCTAATTAGACTAGTTTTAATGGTATAAAATCCAACACTAGAAAACTACACAAAACACGTCACTGCGAAATTAAGGAGAGACTGAGATCTTGAAATACAACAAAATATATCGTAAGAAATTAGTTCAAAGATTTACCTTCCAATAACCGTGCTATAATACTGTCGATGTTCAATTTATCGGTATCAGCCATCAGATTACTATAAAGCGAACTATTATGCAGATGTTAAGCAATTGATGGTGAAGAGATGCCTCCAAAAATCCACGATTACAGTATCTGATTTCCGCAAGAGGAGCGAAATCTTCAATGGCGGCTCTCGTCCTGCTTGTTGTTTGACGTCACCGTCATTGATGAAACAGTGTTCCTCGAATGTCTCGTAGAATGCGTATTATACTTTGTAATTGAAAATTAAGGTAATTGTTAATCAAACATAAAAGTAAATAGGCCTATAACCTGAGTATTCGTATAAACCGTTAAATGATAATGCAGAACTTAGGTTCAATTACACACAATATTCAAAATAACGGTCAGCGATGGAAGCGCTTCCAACCAACAAATGAAGCAAACTTCAGAAAGAAAGGTGGTAGCTTCGTTCATCAACGCGAGTCTTATCTCCGTGCTTGTTCGGCTATCTTCGGCACGGCCCAGCCCATTTTGGATAAACTTGCGTCGATTTGAAACGTCGCGTTGTTCATCGTGTAAACATTAATCCCTCTTTTCAGGGCCGAATTAACACCTTGGGGGCCCTAAACATGACCAACCATTGGGGCCTCCTTAAAATACCGAAATAATGAAAAATGCAATAAATTGTCTAATGAAAAGAAGCTATAACTTTTGTAACAAAAATACATTTTACATATTTATAAATTAATAAAACATCCTGCCAAAATATTATCGGGAGTCCTCACTAACTTTTGCACAATGACATCATTCGCAAATAAAAGTTTACTTCTAATACTGTGTAAGCACCATCTAATTAAGTCATAAGATTACACAAATCAATATAAGTCAACAAATTCATAAGTTTAGACTTATCCTGCAAGTATCAGACAACCGATACTTGATCGCATGGTAAATTATGAATGCTGATTTGGGTGATATGACAAGAGAGATGGCAGAATTATACAGACATCTTACTCGGGGTGGTTTGAATCTCCACCCTGTTATCGATAAGTGGCTGAAATAGGTGTCTGCTCCATTCCAAATCAAAGGGACCAGTTTTGGAAGGTAGACATACCATGATGATCTGCATGAATATTACATGTACCATCTACAGGCGATATATTTGTTTGGGTGGGGTTTATTCACTGTTAATAATAATTGTAATATTGCATGCAAATTATGATCTATTTTTTTTAATCAGTGTAATTGTATTTTAGTTTTTTAAATGTTCTAGATGTGTAGATTGAAAATTAGGACTGTTTCTATATTTTATAGAAATAAATACATAGGTGCATACATATGCCTCCCTCTGCCCAAACCTACCCTCTGCTCTTGCGTACTCTCACCCACTGACTACTACCCCCATGATTTCATCTAAATCCACCTTCTCCTCCATCCTCGCCTTTCTCCCCCGGCATTTCAGCCACAAATACTGCCACTTCTTGCTAATGTCTTCTTTCCTTTTATACATGTGTGAAAAAAAAGCAAGATTTCTTGAAGGGACTAGTCTTTATCAATTTGATCACAGATTGCACTGATACAAATAAGCAGTATATAACACATTCTGAAATGAGTAATAAATTAGGTAAGATATTTGAGAATAACAAAATGATTAATGGTATTTCCATTACATGTATTTGAGCATATAATCTACAAATATATTCTTTAAACAAATTAAAGTTTTTCAGTCTTTTCTAAGATTATTCAAGCAAGAGTAATTTTAACTACAATTATTGTGCAATGTGACAAAATTAAGAAAAAAAAATGATTTATGGAGTATTATCTAACCATCAAACTGAATTTACACTTTATTATCCAGATAGTAATTCAGATTAATCCAGGCAGATCCAGATAATAATAGAGGGGGATTTCAATTCAGATCCCCTCCCCCTTCCATAAATGTTTTGCTTGAAATGCCATCTTCAAGCTTAATGCTATTACTTTTTGAAGGCAATGTGATCAACACATGATGGTTATTTGAATAAATTGAATAAAATTAGTAAAAAACTATTGAGGGGGCATCCCCCCCCCCC